TGGTTGATGGCAAAAGTGACCCTGGAGAGCTGAGGGACAAGGGCAGCTGAAGTGGCTTCCAAACCAATTGTAAAAGATACCAAGATAACCTGTCCCCTACAAATGGGACTATGAAGACAACTTGGCCAAAACGATGTGTTCAATAGGTACCTTCATCTAAAGCTCTTTCCCGGGGTTAACCAGGTTTGGGAGGGGGATCCGTTTAACAGCAGTGAGAGACAAAGTCAGCTCAACTTCCAGGATTAAGAATGCAGGGGAGACATAGGAAAACACCTCTGGACCCAAGAAACTAACAAGAGAAGAGAAAGACTGGACTACATAGGTCACCCAGCATAGCTTTTTACCCCACCCAACTTCACAAAAGCACTGGCCCTTTCCAATCGTCTCTCATGAGTGGATGAAGCGACTAATTCTTAACTATTTAAGCAATGAAGTTCTCCTCTGTCTAAATCTTGCAAATCCAAGAAAGGGTTGTCAGTCCTCAGAGAAACAGGGACCAATGTCAGGGTGTGGTAGAATAAACAATTACTTAAAGAGAAGCTCAAAAGATCTGGGGTTTTATTTCAATTTTGCTGCTTTTTATCTGTGTGGTCTTGTGTAAGACACTCAACTGCTGTGTCTGCTTTCTTCCTCATAAAATCCGCTAATGTCTTCCTCTTGATGCATTCTAAATAACACACAGTCTCTCTTCCTCCTGTACCTGGTCATTCACACTAATGGTTTCACATCACCCCCAAGGACACTTTTGTTTCTGGAATGTGTATATTCTGATCATTGGAATCTCAGAAAAATACCTCAAAATAGGCAAGACCATCAAAAATCAAATTGGCCCTTCCCAAGTGGTTACATGATGTTAATATTCACCTCTCTCTGAAATCTAGTTTCTCACTGAAACAAGTTATTCTATAAAACAAGAATAATGTTGTAATTAAAGATAATTTCAATTAAGGAATTGTCAGTGAATTCAGTTAAAGGTAGACTTGGGTAATTGTGTGTTGTATCTGAATAATCTGATGCTCTTAAAGCCTTTCTTAACTGCTACAAGCACTGATATTTTCAGGATATTAAAATACCTGTGTTGGGATGCCTGGGTGACTCAGATGGTTAAGCGCCTGCCTTGGGCACAGGTCAAGATCTTCAGGTCTTGGGGTCGGCCCGCAGTGGGCTCCCTGCTTGGCAGGGGAGTCTGTTCCTCCTTCTCCCTCTGCCTCTCTCCTCCGTTCATGCTCTCTCTCTCTCTCGCCCTCTTTCTCTCTCTCTCTCAAATGAATAAATAAAATCTTTATAAATAAGTCAATAAATAATAAAATATCTGTGTTAAACCAGAATGTTCAAGGCCATCACAGTTCAGCATTTTCCAGTTGAGAAAGGTTTTCACTAGATGATATTTAGGGACGACTTTTTACAATCATTAAGCCTCATCACATTACGACTAAAAATTTCTCTTCTATGAAACCGTGAGGATCGTAGCAAATATATTAAGCAAGGAAGTATGCAAATATTGCTCTCTTTGTCCAATGAGAGAAATGGCACAGGAAACTAGGTTTACCATAAATCACAAATACGGGTTTCTGAGATAAAAACAGAGGAGAATCCTAGGCATGTGTGTTTGACTCTGCCTCCCTTCTTTGTGAACACACATGCCCAAAGGAATGTAGGCTTTCCCCATGCCTCATAAGAATTAGCATCAGAGTGATCACACTGTTTGTCCCTCAGCCCCCTATGCTGTACAGGTAATACGCTGAGGCCCACAGAGTTTAGGCACCTTGCCCGAGATCACATAGCTAGTCAGAGAGGCCTTCTTCTTCTTTTTTTTTTTTTTAAGATTTTATTTATTTATTGGACAGAGAGAGAGATCACAAGTAGGCAGAGAGGCAGGCAGAGAGAGAAGAGGAAGCAGGCTCCCCGCTGAGCAGAGAGCCCAATGCGGGACTCAATCCCAGCACCCTGGGATCATGACCCCAGCCGAAGGCAGAGGCTTAACCCACTGAGCCACCCAGGTGCCCCCGAGGCCTTCTTCTGAACCCCTCAACGTGGCTCTTTCCCAGACATGGCTCAGCCCAGCTCCATCTCCTCCTACCCCGTACCTGGAACAGGCTCACTCATTCACTTGGCCAATAGGTACTGAGAACCCACCTAGGACATTAAGCCCAACACAGAACGCAAGTTCTCATCAGCTAAAACAGGTTAGGTTACCCTCCCTCCCAGTGGGGGAAGAAAAAAAAGTTCAAAAGTCAAAATGAACAGATAAACAGATGAGAATGAGCCTTAACACAATCTCTAAGATTAGACACACCTGGATGCACAGCCAGACTGTACCCTTTACTACCTGTGTGACTTTAGGCTACTGTGTCCTCTTGTGTAAAACTGTGGCAATTCCTCACAGATGTTTCATGAGGATTAAATAAGGTAATGTTGTGGGTTTTGTTTAAATAGCACAACGTGTAGACAAAGGGTCTCAACAAGTGGTAATAATTACCGTCACTACCAACCGAATCGGGCTGGAAGGGGAGTAAGGACTCTTACTCTTCATTCCTCCACTCCCCCGGCCCCCACAAAGAGCTCAGCTCCAGCCACCTGTCCCACGTCCATGGAGAGAGCAATAGGGAACTTCCCAGGGTCCTTGCCAGGGCCTCGGGTCCTGGTTCTGGCCTCAGGCCTTCCTAACTCCCTGTCTCTGACTTTCTCAGTGCACCATGACATTTAAATTCCTTAGAGTCTATGAACCGTCTACCAGTCCAAACCTGTGCACATTCCTGCCAGAAAAACTCAGAACCTTGCCTAATGAGTATTTAGTTAACAGGAAGATAGGGACGCCTGGGTGGCTCAGTTGGTTAAACAGGAAGATATCAGACCAAGAAGAGAACCGCTAAGCTAAAAAACAAAAGAAGTGCATTGTGAGCTTTCCCCAACATGCCCTTTATCTATTGTCTCTGAAATCCGTTTACTCCATAACAATGTGGGGCATTACATGAAAAGCAGCCCTGGATCCCTGGCCTCCCCAGCCCTCCTGGAGGAGATGGGATAAATTCTCGTAAACACCCAGTGACGGATATGGAGACACAAAGGCCATCTCAGCCATACAAAGATAGGCACCTGTTTGGAAAGGCTTCAAGGAAAAGAGTTCTAAAGGGCAGTGGGGTGCTGGGCAGACTGCAGAGTTGACCAGACAGCAAAGTGAGACAGTAGGGGGCAGCAGAAAGAGGGACCCCTCCGCAGCCGAGGGCAGAAGTGAGGGACTTTGCAAACTTCTCCGAAACACCTTAGCGCCCACATCATGGACAAGAACCAGAGAGCTGATCAGATTAGAAGGCAGACGGAAATTATGGTGCACGCTCCTCCAGCTCACGTGTTTATGTGTCTTGATCAGGTCTGAGTCAGTCTTCGCTTCACCTTTACCATAAGTAGGAATGTGAATGCCCCAACCCAAATAACTTCAAAACCCCAGAAGTGACTTACTGGCCTCATCTCCATCACTGAAAGGTAGAGACATCTAGGAGTAATGGCAGAACTCCTTTTTTTTTTTTTTTTTTTTAACACTACTAAAAAGTATTAGAAGAGCTAGAGAACTGCAAACCTACTTAGGGTTTAAAAAATTACACTTTTATAAATGTTTTTGCTAACATGTCTTGCCACATAGGATGGCAGGTTTGTAATGGCTAGAAGTCATTAAGGCTTATGTTTTTGCTTTTTGGACAATGATCTCTAATTACAGCAGCATGGTGTTGTCCATAGACACTGTTATATAAATACTTGTTGACTAATCTGGTCATGCTCCTTACTCAGGTCATAAGACACACACATATCCCTTTCAAGAAACCTTGATTCATTCCTCCACGAAGGCCCTGCAGGCCACACTGGTGACAATTTCGAGAGTAAAATAATATTTCTCCTTTAACAAGTGCATTCGACGTGACAGGCACTATTCTAGAACTTTACTCATTCCTTCCCGTCCTTGCTAATTAAGGAACTCCAACCCATGATAAAGCAGCCATCGTTGCAGATGAGAAAGCAGGGCCTGGAGAAGAGAAGCGATGTGCCCAGGTCACACGATTAATAAATCACTGCAGGAGATTACAATCCAGCTCTACCCAACCCCATACTGCAGCTGTGGGGTATTGCTCAAGAAGGAGACAGATTAGGAAGAGTCTGAGAAAAATCTCTCATGCCTGTACCTCAAATTAAAAACAAAAAACAAAAAACAAACAAAAAATCCCTTGTCTTTGTGAACCTTTACATTGTTTTTCAAATGGAAAATTGCATGAAATGCCCAGTGCATAAGCCCCAACAATTACCACACGAGATTGAAGGCAGACCCGTAAGCCAACCAAAAGCTCTTTTCCCAAGACAGGGCTGTGGAAAAGAGGTCAGATTTCCTGGGTCTTCCCAAACACCTTCTTCCACCTGCCTCCTAGGAGCTCTGCTGTCGAGGTCTAACACCAGCCGGGATGAAAATAATTGCAGTGGGAGGGCTCCCTTGGTCGCCACTGAGCGCCAAAGTAAATCTTGCTCGTCAAGATAATCTCATCGGGCACCATCCACCAAGTCCGGCAGACACTGGCCCCTCAGAAAGGCGGGTCTCGCGCAGCCCCCCACCCCCTACCCCCAGGGCCCACCCTGGGGCCCGGGCTGTGCCGAAAGTGAGAAGGGCCAGGGTGGGGAGCTGCCGCCAGCTCCAGCGCTAGCCGGGACTCCCCCAGCACGCTGGCTCCGCGCTCCCCGGGAGGGTGTCCTGGCCGGGGCGCAGGAATAACACGAGCCTCTACGGAGGCAGCAGGGAAAGGCCAGCGGCTTCAGATTGTTGTTTCTGGATCGTTTTTCGCGAGTCTGGGCCTTGGGAAACACGAGGCTGTGTGAGGGCTGAAAGAGGCCCTTGTTGAAAGGGAGCTGCAGCCCTTCTCTCTCCACGCGACCTGGAGCAGGACGCCCAAGGCCCCCACACCCCTCTCGCCCCCTTACGGGGACCTCGGCCGCCATCTTGCGAAGCCACCGCGCCGACAATGCCACGGGGAGGACGTCTGCGGCTCGCGCGGACCGTCCGGGCGGTGCCGGGGAACCCACGAAAGGAGACGTGTGGGTGAAGGGGCTGGGTGAGGTATGAAGCACCCCAGACGGGGGACTTTATGATTTGAGGGACTTTATGATTTGAGGGACTTTATGATTTATGATAAGAGACTCAACCTTATCTTTCATCTAGACTCAACCTAGATGAAAACCAAACAACGCTGGGCGTGATGCACAGAAAAATTAAAACTCGAGAAGGGGAAAAAAAATGAAACTGAGAAATACCTCGCCCTTTTTACAGAAGGCCCAGATGTGGAACACAAACCAATTATATTTTCCAACCCAGAAAACTGTTTATCAGGCTGCGCATTTATTTGGGGCGCCAATACCACCCCACAACCTCTCTCTCCAAATACCCTTCTCCTGTTACTATATTACTAGACTCTTTAAGATATTGACAACTCGCTTCAAGATATTGACAACTCATTTTAAGATATTGACAACTCGGTTTTTTTTTTTTTAATCTCTTCTTCTCTTCCAGCTTGAATCTCCAGGAAAAATAATAATAATAATAATAATAATAATATAAAGGAGAGGACACTCTTTAAAAAAAAAAAAATCTAGGGTGCCTGGGTGGCTCAGTCGTTAAGCACCTGCCTTTCCCCTCGGTTCCATGTGGGGCTCCCTGCTCAGCAGGGAGTCTGCTTCTCCTTCTATCCCTCTCCTTGTCCTCTCTCAGATAAACAAATAAAATCTTGGGAAAAAAAAAAGTCTGAAAAGTTTTGTTTTGTTTTTAAATTTTATTTATTTATTTGAGAAAGAAAAAGAGAGAGTGCACACACAAGCCAGGGGAGGTAGAGAGGAAAAAACAGAGGCAGACTCCCCACTGAGCATTGAGCCCCAAAGCAGGGCTCCATCCCAGGACCCTGAGACCATGACCTGAGCCAAAGGCAGATGCTTAACCAACTGAGCCATGCAGATCTGAAATGTTTTAGATATGAATTATGATTTTCTTTAGAGGACATAATTTCTTTCTATACTGCCTTTATGAACATATGCTCAACAGTGGTTTCATGGTTCAATCCCTTGCTACTTCTTGTCCACTAGAGAACTAATAGCTACTGCTTTCTCTGCCTCCAGGCTCCCACTCTCCAAGCCACCCCCCCCCACCCAAGCAGCATTTTAAATTTTAAATCTCTTCACGTTCTCCTTCTTAACATTTTTCAATAGCTACCCATTACCTAGAGCAGAGGTTCTTAATCTTTTGTTGTGCAAACGATATGGCCTATGCTAAACTCCTGCCTTCCTTCTGTGAGTCTTGAGTCCTGGTACCTACTATACAGTGCATATGTGACCAGTTCCCAGGAAAAACTTCAGGTTCTGAGGCCTGCCAACAGGCATGTAAATGAACTTAAAAGCAGATTCTCCCCCAGTCCAGCCTTGACTGGGGGACTGGCCAACACCTCAGTTGCAGCCCTGAGACAAAAAGAACACAGCTAAGCCAGTCTTGGATTCCTAACCCAGAAAAATGATGAGATAATAAACATCTGCAGTTTAGAACTACTAATTTGGGGGACAGTCTGTTACACAGCAAGAGATAACTCATATAGTTGGGGAAATATTTCCCCATCATTAACGAGTGATGGCTGAAAATAATGTGAATGTGTCTCACTTAAAAAAACAAAAAACTCTGCTATCTACATATTAGAAAATTAGAAACAGAATTTCCTAGGCTATTTAAAGTTTCCCAGATAAAGACTATGCATAAGTTTGAACCAACTGCTAAAAATTTGCAAACTGCAACACCTTCCAAAGAGTTTGCAAGAATGACTTATTAACATCACGGAAGAAGGAAAGTTAGTAATTAAATTTCAAGAAAAACCTGAACATAGTACTCGAGAATTTAAACAAAATAGAATCATGATTCAGTTAATCCTGCCAATAAACACTTCTTCGATTGGAACTCTATCTCTTTTCGAAGAATCTTGTTTTGATTAGACCCAGAAATCAAAATAAACTGAACTTAAAACCAGTCCTTTAATTACCCTATCACAAAGCATTAAACCAACCAAAGTTTTTGACCGTTCAAGCACATTGCTCATTCTAATTCTGAATATTTTTTTTAAAGATTTTACTTATTTATTTGACAGATCACAAGTAGGCAGAGAGGCAGGGAGAGAGAGGAAGGAAAGCAGGCTCCCCGCCGAGCAGAGAGCCCGATGCGATGCGGGGCTCAATCCCAGGACCCTGGGACCATGACCTGAGCTGAAGGCAGAGGCCTTAACCCACTGAGCTACCCTAATTCGGAATATTTTAGTGAGAGCAAAGAAAGCTATATCTTTAAATATCCTCTAAGTAATCTTATCCCTATGTATTTTGTAAGAGATACAATAGAATAGGATGACAGTACGTACATAAGTATCCTATAAAGTATTACATAATTACATATTTGAAGACTAACAAGCTTAAGTTGTTTTTACCATTAGGTGTACGCAACTCATAGGACCCTGACCTCCAGGTTAAGTCCAAATGCTTTCCTTTAGTTTGCATAACTTCCAGCTCTCCTACCACCACCACCACCACCACCCCCCACCCCCCGTCGCCCCTCATATCCTCCTGGTGCCTCTGTAATTCCTTTATTACAGGACTCACCACGCTATGGCATATTTTAAGGATTTGCTTATTTTTCATCTACCCATACTAAACTGAGGGCTTTTGACAAGTTTGCACAGTAGCAGACAGTCAACAAACATCTGTTGAATAGATGAATGTACTGATGAATTCATTTTTTTTCAGATCGTTTTTCTCTACGGCTCAGTCTAACAAGTTGAGAAGGGACTCTCCCTTCATCTCCTCCTGGCCAGCTACCTGGCTACCACACCACCAAGATTTAATTTCATAACATTTTTTCAAAAACTGTCAAAAATTGAGTAAGGCTCAGATCCAGAAATTCCAACCATATTTCTCACAATATTGTGCAAGCAGCGCTGTTGGATGGTAAGAAGCCAGATAACCTCAGGTTATCCTCAGTTTCCTCACCTGGTAAACGGAAAGAGAATAACTAACGCATATATGCTGTGCCCCTGGCGGTCCCCAGATCGGTGCGCCCCAGTGTGGGGACGGAACACACCCAGGGACGCTCCTTCTCCCAGCCTCCGACCACCCTCCAACCTCTCTTCCACACACAGACTTCGCCACTCTCTTCTCGGCCACTCTCCGCCCCCGGGGCCCGCCAGCACCCCATCCCGCGCCGGGCTCCCGGCCGCTCCAGGCCCGGTCCCAGCGGCCGAGGCCCGTCCACCGCCCGCTGCCCGCGCTCCACGGCCTCGCATGCCGCCGGCCTCCCCGCCTCTCTCGGCACCGCGAGGCCCAGGCTCCGGCCGCCGGGCCCCGCCTCCCCCCCCCCCCCCCGCACGGCCCCGGAGAAGCCCGAGGGCGCCCACGGCTCCCGAAGATGCAGCCCGGAGCCCCCGCGGCCGCTCTCCGCGCAGGTGCCCGGCTCCTCGCTCCCCGCCGAACCGCGGCCGGGGACGCGAGCGCCCGACTCCCCTCCGCAGGCTCGACCCGCGCGGGCGGGCTGGGCGCCGGGCTCTCCCAGAGGCTCACCCGCGGGCGCGCCTGGGGGCCCGGCGGCCTCGGAGGGCCCTCGGGCTGCTGCCAGAGCCTGTGCGGTAGGCGACGGGGCACTTCGGAGACCCCCTGGAGCCCTCTCCCAGCGGTGGACCGAGGGGAAACAAGAACGCTTTTTGCAGTAAAATACTAATATAATAATAATAATTGATGCTATAGGTGTGGCACAGAGTAAAAGTTCAATAAACGTTGGTTATTATCCTATTGCCCTGGTAGAGACGTTAAGCAAGTAAGTAATAGGTACTAAATACACTCCCAGAATAGACCTGCCCTGTACGTCCAGAGAATACACACACGCACTTGCAGATAGAAATACCTGAAGGGCAAGGATTCTGGACACTTATTTTCATCGTTGTGGTCCCAGATCCTGGCATATAGTAGGTGTTCACTTAACGTTTGTGGCTTTATTTCAAAATTTCCCATAGAGTCCTGCCTCCTACAGATATGGATTCACATTGTGTTTCAAATCATACTTGGGAAAGCATTGTTAGGGTATCTATTGTCAGAAGCAGGATGTGGGAAAACAGTTAATGTGACTGATGTTGCAGGAAAAGCTGAGAAAGACAAGGGAGGTAATTACAGTTCAATAGAAACCAAAAGTCAATCACTAATTTAATGGGAAATGATTCATGAAAGCAGTATTTACACACAAGTACAACTTGTCCCAGTGACTTCAGAAAGGGAAAAAAAAAGTTTTATTTAAAAACAAACAAATAACAACCTGGCAAAGTCTAACAGAATAAAAACGTTTGCAATTAAATCAATTCTGTTGTCAGAATTCTTTGAATGGCAAATGACTAATAGGAGATTAACTGGTATAAGAAAGAAATTCAGTGGGTTCACACAACTGACAATTTTAGGGGTTTGTTTCAGGAACTTATAAACTGTCATTAGGTGGCTCCTTCAGTAGATCTACCCCTTTATCTATACATCCATCCAACCAACCATCTCTCAGACTCCTGAGCCATCTCTCTAGCTTTCAGTTATCTCTTACTGGAGGCAAGTTTTTGTCATCTGGCAGGGGGAAAAAAGGCCAAAGCCACCAAAAACTTCAGGCACACATCATCCCAGTTCACTGGCCAACGTTGGAAAGTTTCTTTGTCCTTTTGGGTCCATATAGGGTAGAAAGAAGCTCAGGGTAACCTAAACAATATTTATCCACCATATCCACAACAGAAAAAAACATTCCGAATTCGACTACTCCAAAACACTAACCACTATCCATCTTTATATTCCCTTCTGGTGCTAGTGAATAACTCTTAAATGGTATCCTGGCTCGTGTTTTTTTCATTTGACATTATGTCATAAGCAATTGCTACACAGACTTTATAGTGATCACTTTTAAGTGTCTATGTAACATTTACCTAAAGCATTAGTCACTATGCAATAATTTACTTATGTCCTTAGTTAATATTTTGCAATTTCTAGATGTCGCTATAGTTTAAAGACATGGTAATTATTCTCTTATTACCTATAGCATGTTACTTTTTATAAAGTATTTCCTTAATATAATTCTCAGAAATTGGATGAATGAGTGAAATGGGAAGAATATTTACATAGATCTAGTTCTTCAGATACATAACCAAATTGTACCCATTTTCAGGGCTTCTACTAATGTTCCATGCCACAGCATTCCCACACCTTCACCAGCACTGAGGTGAACTTTCATGAAGTCACGGTTCCTAAACCTTCTCACCAGTTCATAGCAACTTCTTTAGTCTCACTACATTTTTAGCTTACCTCTCTCCCCTGAGGAAACATAGATGAGATTGCCTAGCCCCGTTGTGGGCACACAGTAGGCACTCACAAAAGGTTAGGTAAGTCTGCAGCTGACTCTATTATAATTCTACCCATGCCCCTAGGGAAAACCGCTTTTTGAAATGCTGCCTTGAGCATACAAAGGATGGAACAAAGATAAGCACAAATATATCTGCGGGGTCATTTCCACAAAAGCTATACAAAGAGGAAGGACTTGCTTTTTGATTGGTCCACTCTCTTGAGCTTCTCTTATCTGTTTTGCAGACAGATCTGAAGGAGTTATTCACACAGATGTGTAATGCAATCTTCATTGGTCCTCTTCTGAAGAAGAGGGGTGTGTGAAGGTGTGTGTGCGTGTGTGTGTGTGTGTGTGTAAGATTAACCAAACCCATTGCTCAATGTTGTGGGTCAAAACCCTGGAGGCTTGTCAGAATGACCTGTAGAGGGTTTCTTAAATGCAGATGTCTGGGCCTCAGCCCAACTCCTCTAATTTAGATACCTATAGGGCGGAGGCAGGTGTTTATAATTTTTTTAAATCTCCACAGGTGATTCTGACAGAGCCAGGATTTAGGAAGGAAATAAATCAACCAGCAATGAGGTACTAGAATTAATGCCAGTTGTTCTTAGTCCTTCCGTATGAATTGGAAACAAACTATAAGCGTTTTCTTTCATTCTACCTTTCCCCTGTCTCTTGCTTCCTAGTGGGAAAGGCTCTGTCGGCATGAATACTCATTCTCTTCTGAGCCGGCTTCCCACAGGCCCTTAGCCCACTTCTATGGATCAGCCCCTGAACATCCTGCTCTCCCATAGGAGGCCTGGGCTTCTTTAGGTTGCCAGTGGTGGCGACTGGGGCCTTTGCAGTGCCTGACTGAAGAACTAGCGAGTTTCCTGGGCAAACAGATCCACGCCGCATTGCGCAGCATCGACACAAGGCCTGGGTCCCTCTCTGAGTCTTCTAGTTTCCAACTTTGCCAGGATAATGGGTGCTATTTCATGGACCCCCTCAGACCCCACCCATAAGTTGTCTATTTACACGTCATATCTTTCTTCCTGGACTACATGCTTGTTGAGGGCAAGTTTGCACATCTCCCCCGTGGTTCGTAAGGCATAGAGCCTGGCACCTAAGAGACATCAGACACGTATGTGATGAGCAAAATACTAGAGGAGAACTGACATCCACTCCACACCGACTCTGTGCCCAGCACCCTGGGAGGCCTTTTGTTACATGGTCTCATGCTACCTGCATCACATCCCCATGAGGTAGGAGTTCCTAGTCCAATATGCAGGCAAGAATAGAAATGATCATCAAACAAAGTTCATTTGGTCAAAAACTGTTTATAGGCAGGAACATAAAAAAGTGAGAATTTATTCCCCTTTTTCTTCACGCAGCCCAATTTTCTTGAGATAATTTATGCATACAGCTGAAAGTCTACAGATCCTTTATGTGACAGACATATAATCTAAGACATGATCGTTCTCTCAGTTGGAAATTATCAAATTGATGAGGTCTAACCCAGACAAGTGCCCTCCCTTTTTCTACGTTGTTCGTTATCATGAGATCTTGGTATTTCAAATAGGATTATGCCATTTGGGCTGGGCACTTAAGATTTCCCTAAGGGCCAAGGCTGAGTAATTTTCAGGTAATGAGCTTTAATGTCCAAGGAAAGAGGCATCCGGCATCACCTTCTGAACCCGTGCCATGGATCTGCTGTAAGAGTATCAGGAGTTCTAGAACCTTGCGTAATTGATCTTGTGACTTGAAACTGAATCACTTTCAAGGCTTCTTCCAAAATGGTTTTTGCCCTCCTGAACTATACCTTATTACAGCTACACTTACCCAGACGACTGAAGAGAAAGAAAAGGATAATTCCCTGGTGTCTCCAACTTCACTGAGGAATCTTGAAGTCACCCTGAGCCTCTTTTACCCATAAGGGCAGAGGGTAGGATTTTCCCCATCCTTAAGAAGTATTGAGAGTGAGATGTGGAGGAAAGAGAGGTTCTTCTATGGACTCAGGATTCAAGTTTCTAGTTGTCCAAGGTCTCTGAGCCATGGCCCTGCGGAAGTGTTCCGAGTTCTACAAACCCTTAGGCACATCACCAGAGAGAATCTGCATCAGTGTAATGTCTGTGTGCAAAGTATAATAAAATTCATGAACCCAGACCCTACTCACTTGAAATTTGAGGTCATAAAACCTTAAAGCTGGCTCTCTTTCTTGGTACAGATGAGTACACAGAGACTCAGAGAGATTAAGTGACTTGCCAGAAATCACACAGCTATCATGGAGCAGAACTGTGGTTTGAAAGCAGTTCTCTAGAATTTCAGTCAGCTCTGTCCTGCTCTGTTTATAAAAGAGTCCTGCTCATAAGGTGAAAGGAAAGATGAAATTAAGCTTTCTTTTAAGATAAAATAATTTATCATCAAGAAAATAGCATAACTGAGGAGGTATAGAAATGAGGGTAGACTTGAACATATACATTTTCCTGCTGGAAAACAGATCATTAGGCGGAAGGAAGAAGTAGGAGGTAAGAATTAAAAGTCTACCCTTCAATTTGCCAGTGGGATCATCTGAGGAAAGTTAGGTGACTGATATGAACCTCAAATTTTTTCATGTGTCAAAGGGACCTACTTACAAGGTTATTCTAAGATTTAAATGAAATCATACAGATAAACTAGTTGAAACTTAGTTACTCAATAAATGTTACTTCCTTTCCTCAAAACAGCTATAAGCTAACCACTATTCTTTTCCAGTCATTAGAAAGTGACCCTTAATTGTTTCCTGGCCAGTCATTGTGTTTACTTATTTGCTCAATTGTTTATTTTCTGCCTCCTCCTACTAGGCGGTAAGCTCAAAGGGGACAAGTCCTTTTCTGTCCTCACCCCCTTTTCATCCCAAGTTCCTAGTACAGGGCCTGACCTATAGTGACAATTAGAAAAAATTGACAAATGACATAAAAGAATTAAAAACTTCATAGAGAGAAATGAAATTTTGGGGGGGGAAGGTAATATTTTACTAGTTCTTTTATACTGTGTGTCCTATGTAAAGATACAGTTATATATATATTTTAATTTATGTATATATATATACATATATACACATGTGAATCCAATATAGTGTAAACTAATATAGTTATAATATTTGTATACTAGTAAGTCATATAAAATACTATGTCATATATAGTATTATATACTAATAAGTATATATGTAATAGGTGAATATATGTACATTATACATGTAATTTATTATATTTGTAATAAACTCTACATATCAAAATAAATTATGTATGAAATATGAGATATTGTTTGCCATTGGGGAGAGGTAAAGGAATAGATACTCAAAGAGGAACAAAGAGAAGCTCAACATTAATC